GTCTCTTACTATTTTTATTGTTCAGACTTGCCTAAAGCGTGTCATCACGCAGTTTAATATCACGGCGGATTTTGAAGGTGTTTTAGATACTCTGAGAGTACTGCCTTATAAGGGAAAATGACAGCAAGGGCCAGTCGGCCTGGAAAGAGCCCCAGCACCAGCCCTGACAAGAAATAGCCACATGACTCGGGCAAGGGACTGATCCTCCTTGGGCCTCAGTTTCCTTATAAAAACAGGAGCTGGTCTCACTTCCCAATCTCTGAGGGTTTTTCCAATTTTATTTGTTTTTAACAAATTTTTTAATGTTTATTTATTTTTGAGAGTGAGACAGAGCTCGAGCAGGGGAGGGGGAGAGAGAGAGGGAGACACAGAATCCGAAGCAGGCTCCAGGCTCTGAGCTGTCCCCACAGAGCCTGATGCGGGACTCGAACTCACGAATGGCGAGATCATGACCTGAGCTGAAGCTGGACGCTTCACTGACTGAGCCGCCCAGGCGTCCCTCCAATTTTAAAATTCAGTGTTTTCATTCTACCACCAAAGGCAAGAGAATTATGGTGAAGGAAACCGTAGGCTTCTATCGATGGCATTGGTCTGGATCTTATCCCTTGCTGTGAACCAAAGTCCTGCTCAGAGTGTAGAGCAGAGAGGCCATCGCAAAGCCGCTGGGGAAGGGATGGCCAGGGAAACTGCTGCTGGTTTATCACACACTTGGACTTAACTGTGTGCCTGGCATTATTCTAAGTGCATATGAAACACTGACTCATTTCATCCCAAGGCAGCATTTGGAGGAATCTCAACACCGCTATTTTTTTTTTCTTTTTTTTTTTTTTTTTTTTAGAGAGACAGTGTGAGCAGGGGAGGGTCAGAGAGAGAGAGAGTCACAGACTGAAACAGGCTCCAGGCTCTGAGCTGGCAGTCAGCACAGAGCCCGACGCGGGGCTCGAACCCACGAACCGCGAGATCATGACCTAAGCGAAAGTCAGACGCTCAACCAACTAAGCCACCCAGGCGCCCCTCAACACCGCTATTATGCAAACTTGACAGATAAGGAAATTGATGCACAGAGAGGTTAAGTAGTTTTCCAAGGGCCACAGTGGATGCCTAGTGAAAAAGGCTGCGCTGGAGGTTAAGGTCACACCCCTATCTAATTTTTAATGCGTTGGTATCCATAGGGAACCCAACCAATAAATGAGGCTGCCACAAAGCAGAAGAAATAATATTGGGCCATCAGGAAAAGTCGCTGACCTCCAAGATAGTCCCGTTTTTACTACTCTAAAAAATCTCCACGAAGAGTATAGATACCGCCTGCTCTTACATGTTTGGGACCACCTTGTCTGAAAGCTGGGAGGCTGCCTGACGACCCCAGGTCACTCCTGATTCTTGGTACCTGATGCCAGCCTGCAAATGGGCAACAGTGGAGAGCCGCTTGGATAGCACATATGGTGTGTGCACACATGGGGGTGCGAGGAGGTGTGGGTTATAAGGCTTAACTTCATCCTTTCCCTGATCTCAGCGTACATCAGTGGGGTCACCGCTGCTGCCAGACGTCACCCACTCCACCACAGCATGGTAAATGGTCAACAGAGGAAATGCAAGTGTGAGAATACACATGAATTCAGTGATTTCCATCTATAGGGGCATTTCCCCTCCCCCATTCTGCCCCCGCCCCCAGGATTTCCAAAGCTTCATGTTTCTGTGTGATTTTTACATTGTTATGGACTCATTGTTATGTCTTTAAGGGTAGGGACTAGGCTTCACTTGTCTCTGTCTAGCTGACACTATGTTTGCTGACTGGATAAGTGATACACTTCCAGCCAAATGACATTTTTTTTGCTTATACCTGGAATCCACCATGTACTATATGTTGACTATTGATCTGGATTTCAAGGTAAATACAGACATGGCTTTTTTTGTGTTTTTTTTTTTAATTTTTTTATTTCTGAGAGAGAGAGAGAGACAGCGCGAGCAGGGGAGGGTTAGAGAGAGAGGGAGACACAGAATCTGAAAAAGGCTCCAGGCTCTGAGCTGTCAGCACAGAGCCCGACGTGGGGCTCGAACCCACGAAACACGAGATCATGGCCTGAGCCGAAGTCAGACCCTTAACTGACTGAGCCCCCCAGGCGCCCCAATACAGACATGTTTCTAAGGAAACGGTTTTGGTTTTTCAGTTTTTCTCTTTTTTCTTTTCCTTTTTTATTTTGCAGAATGACTTGGTAAGCTAATAACTTTTAATAATTGTGTCTGGATTCTAAAGAACTCTTAGCTGCATTTCAGTCTCTGGACATTTAGTATTTAAACACATATGTTCTACTGTAATATCCCTTCCCTTTTCTCTCTTATGAGTCTCCCTCTTTCTTGAGGGCAAAGAGTTAAGATACCTTTTTAAACTCAGTCTGACATAGCGCATCTGATCGTTTCACCCCGTGTGCCTTCTGACTTTTAATTTCCTTCTAACACGTTCGACTTTTGATCTTTAAGCACAAGGGCCGCACTTTTATTAGGTTTAATTTACTGTAAAGCTCGGTGTTCCCGGTGAATCAAGCCATAATCGTGAATAATCACAGGCTTCAGCCAGCCAGGTTTTCGTCCTGCTGAGTAACTAGGAAACCGATTAATAACAGGAAGGTTAAAAAACGTTGGGAACCCAGATAGCGCCCCCGAGCTAGGGTAAGCCATTTTGTTATTTGCACATGACTGTCCAAGCGGAAAGGGGGGTCAGCCACTGCGTAGGACCCAGGGCAAGGACGCTGTTTGGATGGGCCTAGGGCTCCCTGGAAGGGAAAGCAGCGGGTGACCAGGACTTGATTAGAGTCCAGGTTTGGGGCTGACACTTTCTCTCCGGCTTCCCACACCTCTTTCAGCTCTGCCATACGTGCCTCTGGCCAGGTTATTTTCAATAGGGTTTCACGCAGTATATCTGAGAGGGTAGGGGACAATTTTTTCCCACATATACAGCCTTTTTTTCAAAGGGTTTTTCATAAAATGGAAAGAGAAGAGCTTGGAGAAAGCAACTCAATGGCTATATCCTTTTGAGATTCTCTCTACCATGTGCTCGAGGCTCTGAGATCTTCAGCCATTTGGTGCCTCGTAGAAGGCGCATCACGGCCTGATGGCATCGATACTATAAACACGTTTTCTTCTGCAGAGGAGAGAACCTGCCCAAGGTTTCATGAGTCAGAGCAGAAAAAAAACAAAAACAAAAAAAAACAGTCGTCAGGAACGGATCTCCCATGACCCTCTTCTGACATCTTTCTGCTCAGATGCGTTGTCAAACCGCCCAGCACGAGCAAAGGTCCCCTCCAATCCCCCAGCCTGCATCAGCCCCTCCGGGAGGGAAGTGGCTTCCCAAAGAATCAGAGGACATCAGTTACTCGGGGAGCCTCTGAGCTTGGACTGGACCCCCGTGGTCATGAGAGCCCCACTTTGGGCAACTGAACTTAATGGAACCGCTGTAGGCATCAAACTTCCCAGACACCATCAGAGGCTGGATGAGCAGCCTGGGGGGAAAAGCCCCTCTATTAGCTGAAACTGCAGAACCCATGAGTCAGTATTTTCTGCTACAGTTAAAAAAAAAAAAAAAGCATACTCTTCACGTCTCCATGGTAACTTACTATGGATCTGCATTCCATTTATGAAACTCCTTCTTGACCTATCTGTGATTTCTGATCCAGGACTGAACATAAACTGAGAAGCCATCAGAATCCAATCAGCCTCCTCGAAATATCAACACCCCCTGCACGTGGTCGTTCCCGCAGTGTAGACCCTGCCTCTGACCCATGCAGGGGTGATGTCCGAAGACCCTCAGGTGCCTGTGGAAACATTAAAGTGCAATAGTATCTCAATTATCCGGGTAACTCCGCATTTGGGGTTGCCATGGAAACCGGGAACCTTGGTAACAGAGCAGGGAGATGGTTCCTCTCTCTTCACAGCACCTCAGTCCCTGAGATGCGCCAACTTCCAATTCCTTGGCCTTCCCTAAGCTGGGCTGTTTTATTTTATACCACCTTCAGGAATCTAAATTTTTCTCCAAACTATTGAGAATCGGAGCAGGAAATGCACTATTTCTAGGCATGGACTCAAGTGTTCTGTTAGCAACGGAAACCACCAGGAGGGGTGACGGTGGTGACCGGGAGTGGGAGGCAGATTAACTCGGTTTCGGCCGCGAATTTCCCATTCATATGTTTTATGGCCCCGCACGTTATTTCCCCGAGGCTCCTGAGCACTCGGCCAAGGCGGGTGACCCTGCGGCGCCGCTCAGCTCTAGGGGGCGCCCCGCACACGACGCCAGAGGCTCGGGCTCTCCGGAGCCGGACTCCACGACCCCGCCAAGGGCCCCATGTTCCGACAGGCATCATCTCGGGCGCATTTTATAGACTTTTCGTGGTAAAGGCGATGAAAAATCTTGAGCGATGAAAAATCCACGCCTCGCTGCCACTCGGCGCCACCACCCCGCTCCCGCGCGGTTCCAGAGCCACGTTGGGGGTGAAGGCCTCGGGACGAGGGGAGGAAGCCGCATCCTCCACGGAGAGACTCCCCCCGCCCGACCTCCGCGGGTTCGAGTCCCGGCCCATCGAGGTCCCAGAACGGCAGGCGAAGGACGGAGCCAGGTGACAGCGGCATGGAGCGAGGTCCCAACCGGAAGGAGCTAGATCCGCCCCCCGCTTCCCTCCCCGGGAGCCCTCACCCCTCCCCTCTTCCCTCCCACTCCTCCTCTCCCCTCCCTCCTCCACCCTCCTCTTCTCTCTCCCCACCCCTTTCCTCCCCTCCTCCACCCCTTCTTGACTCCCTCCTCTCTCCACCCCTCCTCCACTCTTCTGCTCTCTCCCCTCTCCCCCTCTAGCCTCCCCTCCTCCACCCCTCCTTTCTCCGCCCCCCTTCCTCCCTCCCCTCCTGCCCTCCCCTCTCTCCTGTCTCCTCCCATACTCACTCTTTTCCCCTCCCCCTTGTCCCTCCTCCCCTCCCCTCTGTCGTCTTCCCTCTCTCCTCCCCCCTCCCTCCTCCTCCCGCCTCTGAAGAGCGCGCCGCGAAGGGGACTGGCCGGTTACTTCCTCCGCCGGCGGCACGGAGCGCAGCGCGTCCCCGGCCCCGAGCGCCCGGCGCCGCCCGCCTGCGTCCGGCCAGCGCCCCGGCCCCCGGCCCCCGGCCCCGTCGCCCTCGCCCGCGTCCGCCGCGCAGCGCGGAGCCCGGCCCGGAGCCACCGCCAGCCCTGCCCGAGGCGGCGCGGTAAGAGCGGGGCCCGGGCAGGCGGGTGCGCGGGCCGGGGGCCGGGGGAGCGCCCTGCGGCGCGGCTTCTCTCAGCGGAGCCGGACCCCGGGGGGGTGGGGGGGGTCGTGGGGGGGTGGCCCCGAGGTCCGGATCCCCAGGCGCACCGGGGTCGCGGCGGGGCGGCGACTGCTTCCCGGCTTCAGCTCGCTCCCGGTGCCGGGGCGGCTCGGAGGGCGGCTCGGCGGCGGGGGCGCGGGCAGGGCGCGGGGGGTGGGGGCGGCCGTGACGCTCCGAGCCGGCCGCGAACTTGGGCCGCGCGGCTCCGGGTGGCCGGGCGGCCGGGCCAGCTTGCCTCTCTAGCTTTTGTTTCTAAAAAGCTGTGCGGGTCCGGCGAGGGGGCTCTGCCGGGGGGCGCCCCCGCGGGCCGATTTCGCGGCGCGCGCGGCTTTGCGGGTGACTTAGCGCCTGAAGCCCCTGGCGGCCGCGTCCCCGCCGCCGCCCCGAAGACGAGCCCGGCACCGGCTCACCTGCCCCAGCACTCCGGGCCCGGCGGCGGGCGAGGGAGGCGCCCGGAGGACCGGCCCCCCGCGGGCGCCCCGGCACTTCTGGATCTGGGCCCTGGGTGCCGGGAGGCGAGCGTGGGAGCCGGTCGGAACCGCGGGTGTGGGTGCGCAGGGCCGCCTCTATTTTCGCGTTCTTAAAGGTATTTTGAATGAAAGGTTACCGTTCGTGCGTGTGTGGGTTGTTTGCTTTGGTTTGGTTTCAAGCCCAGGAGACTTTTTAAGTATTGGCCTCTTGAATTCAGTTTCAGGGGAGCTTAAGCTGGTAGTGGGATGTGCTGCTTATTTAGAAAGTAAAGAAGTGAGCAGTCAGCCCCCTTTCGAGATAGAGGCAATTTATTGTAATTCACCGCTAAGAGATTATATTTATCCTGGACAATGGAAACGCCTGTGCGCTATCGGCCTGTCCACACCACCTCCCATCAGGGAGATAAATCTCTAAGTTAAGGTTTATTAAAATTCTGAGTAATATGGAGTATAGTTATAGTTAGCGCCCTGGGCCCTGCAGGGAAATATTCACTCATTTCTGGGATTAGTCATCCCCCTCTCTCTCTAAATTGATAACTTTCAGAAGAAACAGCAAAGCAGCCTTCAGAAGTAGCCTATGGGTTTGTTTTGGCTTTTGTCCTGCAAATTTACTTCAATACAGAAATACCGACCTGTGCTCTGATCTTGTTCCAGTAAGGGTACTGTCCTGAGGCAAATTCTCTTTGTTTTAAAATTTTATTCTCAGTTCTTACATTTCTGCCTCCCCCCCCCCCTTTTTCTGTTCGAAAGCAGCCATCAATAGGGCAAAAGGGACCTAAATTTGAAATTGATCAAGGTGAAGAAACTTGACCTGTGTTGCCCCTTAAGGAGCCTTGTGGAGTAAAATAAATGAACTTAACTTTCATTAGCTCTGTGTGTGCCTGGAAGAATTGGAGGGACGCCTTGATTCTACGTGGTTCTTACAGAACAAATGAAAAGCTGCACAACTAAAAGAATTCTATTCTGTAGCTGATAATTAGAGCTTTTTATGTGGGGCCAGGAGGCTGCCTTTTTGCCTGATATGTGTACCCCAAAACCAGGCGTGCCTTTTCCATCGCCTTCCATACCAATTCTCTTGCCCAACCCTAGAGGCTGAAAAGAATGCACAATAAAGTCAGCAAGTTGTCTGCACACCAGGCTTCGCAAAAGTGCTCGGCCCAGTGGGCTCAGGAAGGATAGATAATTGTTAACGGTTGAGATGCCTTCTCATTTGGGTCTTCTGTGTGAGGTCTGTTGCTGTAATCAACAGGTAACAGGATTTAGTTTAGATAAATAACCTAAAGCTCTGAGTGAAGGAGCCTTTCCCTTGGTAAAGGGTAGCGAGTAGGGACCTGGTCTTAATAATCATGTGCTCCCTCGGCTCTGTAGTGACGGGGTGGGAAAGGCCCAGGCCTCAATCATTCGGGGTACCCACCTGTGGAGGAGCTGCACTGGAACCCATCTGGACCCTAGTCCTGCTGTAGCTGTGTGATCTGGGGCAAGCTATCCGAGGTCTCTGGGCTGTGTGGTCCCTCAGTCTGGGCTTAGCCCCTGTGAGTCGGACTGTGTCAGGGCGGGGATCATGAGTAGTGAATATTGATTCTTGAGTGCCTGAGCCACTAAGTGGAGATTCGGAGCCAGTGTGGCCCACATTTGATCTGGGACTATCCTTCCTCTGCTCCCTTCTCCCCCATAGGACTATTAATTTATTATCCGTGTTTTCCAGCCTCCCCTGGCCACCATGATAGTTACGCGCCCTCCGAGGGTTTTAACAGCCCTCTGGGGTGTCTCTGGCCTCCTCTGTGGCATAGACTTCTCCTCCCACGCTACCTCTCTAGCCCAGGGTGTGTGTGTGTGTGTGTGTGTGTGTGTGTGTGTGTGTGTGTTTGTATCTAATAGCTGGGAGGTCTGAGGTCTGGTTTAGCCATAATGTTGATCGTAAGAGGAAACAAAGTACAAACTCAAAGTAGTCACGGGGAAATGTCCTCCTCTCCACCTCCAATAAGACCTATCAATTGCACAACACTTTAATTACTCAGAGTTCCTGGCTGTAACAGGTGGGAGCACCCCGGGGAGATTGTGGGGGCGGACAATTAGGGGTGCCCTATAAAGCTTCCTATAGACCTGTTCCATAGCCTGTAAGGTGGTGGAGTGGGGGTGGGGGGAGGGGGAGGTTTGCCCTGTACCTGTCATTGGTGCTAACCTAGCTTCTTTGAAAATGAGTTTTAGTTGCTCCGTATGTTTATCTGCCTCTCTGGTGGCCTTATCTCGGTACTTTTCCCGCCTATTAATATAGAACCTAACCCCGCCAATTATAGGTTAGGGCTCCAATAAGTTTTCAGCCTACATCACCGTCCCATTGCAAGCCACATAAGCAACTATACGTTTTCTTACAGCTGCGTTAAATATCGTCAAGTAAATGAAGTCAATTTCAGTATGTTTCTGTTCACTCACTATCTTCAGAATAGAATAGAAACATGCAGTCAGTCCACAGTCATTACTGAGGTGCTCTGCTCTTTTCTTTAAAACCTTTGGAATCTCGTGCGTTTCACACGCAGGGCTCATCCCAGCCCATCCAAGCTGTGTGCCCAGCACTCGGCGGCCACGTGGGGCTCGTGGCTAGCACACGGGTCAAGGCAGGCCTGCCTGGGAAGGCCCAGACGCTGTCAAGGCCAGTTAGACCCGATACATGCCCAGCTTTACTTCCCCTTGGAGAAATGCACTGCTGAGCAACACACACAGCAGGCACATTATGAGTTTGCGTGGCCCACACAGGAGGATCTGGGGTTTTGGCCTGAAGAAACGGTTCGGGAACCTTTTATGTCCTACCTGGGAGTTCTCCCTCGTAGCTTAGGAAAGAGAAAGAGCCTCCTAGGCTCCTTCTAGCATGCTGACCTGGGTCTCGGTCCCCCGGAGCCGAGCCGCCTGGGGTGGGAGCAGGGTCTTGCCCTGAGTCCTCAGGTGGAGCTGACTGCCTTGTGGACTTGACAGTGAAAAGCAGCTTACTCCACCTTGAACTGTATTCCTTGCTCAGCTCCTCAAGCCCGGCTCCCTCGAGAGCCCCTAACCAGCCAGCCAGAAAGTGCCTTTATCTGTGTGCGTATATCTAAGTGGAATTCAGTGGAGAATTGGCATTATTATTTAATTACTTAAATAGCATACCCTTTGTGAGAAGGGCCTCTTAAGTAAGAACTGGCATCCGTTTTGAATGACCTGTTGTACTGGAGATGGTGACAGACTCCACCAGCCTTAGGGTTGACCTAGGCAAAAAAGACTTCGTAAAAATATGATGATTTGTTGCCCCTGTGAGTCTTTATTTATTTCTTTTTCTTTTTTTTTTTTAAGATGAATGATTTTGGAATCAAGAACATGGACCAGGTAGCCCCTGTGTCTAACAGTTACAGAGGGACCCTCAAGGTGAGTGAGCCAAGACTTAATGTATAGTTTTTAAAAAAAAAAATTGGAAAAGTCAATCTCTAGGAGAAAAAACAATGTGCCGGGTCCCAGAAGGCTGGCTGGAGCCCCGGCCTGTTAATATACAGGCTGTGTGACTCTCGATTGTTTGTTTAATCTCTCTGAGCCTCAGTTTTCTAGTCTATAAAATGGGTATCCTGGTGCTTGTTTCTACTTGTCTTCCAAGATAGGAAACCATTCAATCTGGAGATGGTGAGGCCTTTCTGGTTTATTTCTGAGACTCCTGCCGGGTGAAAAAGCTTGTGGTTCTCAGGGGTCAGCACGGGAGAAGCTGTGTGTCCTGGAGTTCTGTTCACCTGTGTATGTCCTGGGGTGATGGGCTGGTTGTTTAAGAACTGACCAGGGAAGAGCAGAGAGGAGGAAGACCAGCATTCCTGCAGAGGGCTCCTTCCTTCTGAAGGGTCTGTGCCCAAGGGGCTGCCCACAGCCTGCTCTCACGGCCACAGACAGCGCGCCGGCTTCCCCAAAGCAAAACACAGATGAGAGATGCAGGGGGCTTTTCTGGGGCCCGAGAGCCAAATTTCGCGTAGCTTCTCCCTCTGTTCCTTTTAGGAACATTGTTAAGTAGCACGAACTGACAATTTCCCATTTGCTTTCTTCAAACATGACCGTGAGATCTGATTGGTTTTTCTCAGCCTAGTGTAGTAACACCTTTCAAAGCAGTGATTTTTGATTGGTCCCCACCGGGCTTAGTGTCTCATGCAATGGTGTATCTCAGTCCTGTTACAGTTTCCTTTGTGTGTCCTTAGGAGGTGATTTGTCCCCAAGAGACCCCAACAGCCAAAAATGGGCACAGGCTTTTCTTGCGTTATTAGGAAGGTCAGGAAACTTCAAGCCAGTGAGTTTTGTTTGATTTGGTCAGATGTTTTCCCGTGGCAGAAGCCGTGTGAGAAATTGCGGTGTTTAGTTTCAAACCACACCCCTAGAAAGGAAAATTCTTCCAGAAGTTAAAAGAACCTGATGATGCCCCTGTGATTTCTGGGTTCGGAGAAGAAACAGTTGTTGCTGAAATTGATGTGTTGAAATACCCAGTGGGAATTTGTATTGTCTTTTGTCTTCCTGAGTTTAAAAAAAGAACTTCAGCCAGGAAAGGAAAGGCATTTCTTGGTCACCTGGGGAAATGCTAGTGGGAATTAAAAAAAGAAATTGATTGGCTATTTCACCGAAATTGGTCCTGCGATAAAGTAGTTTCTAAATCCAGATGCGGATTTCGAACTTACTTGATTGTAAGTAAGAAAAACCCTTAGGTTTCTGGCAGTCAGACATTAGAGCCTCGGGTTTGGGGGGGCTGGGCGCTAATATCGTTGGGACATCACTGCCCTGAGTGTTGTAGGCGGCGTCCCAACTTCTGCCTGCCCTCTTACGTAATGCGTCATTCATTGTTCCTCATTTCTAAAAAGAAAGCACACAAACCGATTTTATTTGTAAATGTGTTGCACATTTTTTAAATTGATGATTCAACAGATGGTTCATTGTATTACACATAACATGGGTTTTCCAGTTTATGTTGGAAAAATATTACCATCTTTTACGTTGTTCCTCAGCAAGTCAGGCAGTGATGAATCAAGGCTCTATCTGTTACTTATAAACGAGTCTTCCATTAAAGGCTACTTCTTTCATAACTGTTAGATGAAATTATCTTAGATCGACACAGTGCAGTTTATCTCTCTCTGTGTCCCTTCTTTCCACTAAGCTGCAGATAGTTGAACTTGAAACCTTTTTCCTTTGGAAATCTTTCCCCTTAGTAGATGAGGCGGGGTAGGGGTCTTTTCAAACCCTTCACTTTTATAAAAGTAAGCCTTAAGGTGGTTTTTCATATCTATTACTATTTTCTGAATCATTGGAGTTGATGAGGGGGAAAAACTAGTTTCAGTTAAAGTGTTTTATGGTTACACATAAAACTAAATGCTTCCACAAGTAAAGTAATTTATTCCACTCTTTGTTTCTCTGTCTTCATTCAGTCATTTGCCTTCCTTCTAACTGCAGTGAGCTAACGCTGTCCTGCTGAGGGTAGTTATTGCTCTGGTGCCCCGTCTGACTGAATTCCCTTCTGATGTAGCAGAGGGCCTGGGTCTTTGGACCAGCTGGGTCTCTCAGTCCCATCCAACTTTCTTCTAAAGTTCCATCCTTTTTAGGTTTGTTTACTTAGCTTCTTTGAAATTGAAGTTAATTTTTTTCTTGATTGAAAATTTTTCTTTATTGAAATTGAAGAACTTTTCAACTTCTTTGAAGTTGAAATTAATTAAGCCATTAAAAATAGAATTCCTGGATATCCTGACTCTGTGAGGTCAATGAAATGATCCAGAGTAAAATAGAACTCTTACCATGACTTTGACCATCTCAGAAGTCTGGCTGGGGAGTGCTGTGAATGGTCCATTCCATTCATGGCTTCATAATTGCCAGATTCATCAAGCTACATTGGGGAAGATTACCCGTGGACCGTTTTTAAAACAGGTAACTCAGTGGGTTGAAATAAGAATTTCAGTGTTCTTTTCCCTCTGTTTTCCAGCGCCAGCCAGCTTTTGACACCTTTGATGGGTCCCTGTTTGCTGTTTTCCCCTCTCTAAATGAAGAGCAAACACTCCAGGAAGTACCCACAGGCTTGGATTCAATTTCTCATGGTAATTGACAAAGTGTGCCCGATTTCCTGTAGTTCAGTTACTGAAGAGGTGACCATTCCAAAGCGGCAGGGGTTGGTACCTTGATTCTTTAGTTTGCAAAGTCCGTGCCTCTGGACCAGGCAGAAGACAGTTTTTTTCCTTCCTTATGAACATGCTGGCCCTGATGTCTTCCACAGCGAGAGCAAATGCCCTGCTGGGACCAGCTTGTAGGGCAGCCCCAGAGATTTCCACTGGGATGTTTGCAACACTGTAGCAAGCCTGGGCCTCATCTCCAAGGCGCACCTGCAAAGCCCACTATTAAAATGCACCCCAACTTCTCTTTCTGGGGTCTCCTCATTAATCAGATCATCCACCCCACCCCGGAGTCTTGGGGCAACAAATTATACTTGCTAATATTCGCCTGTATGTATTTATTCCTGTAGTTGTTAACGCCATGGTTTATTATTGTTAAAGGGAAAGCAGTCAGATACTGCCTGTACCATTCCTGGGATAGGGCTATTAGTTGGAAACATTCCAAAGAATACTTTGTCAGATGAAGTAGGTGCTGGAAAATACAGAAAATTAATTAAATTAAAACACAGTTGCTTGCAGAAGTGTACCGTCATGCACCAGTCATTTATCATTCCTGAAATTGCTGAAGGAATCCAGAAAAGATTGGTTTTCAATAAAAATTGCCGGTCCGCCGACATTATGGGGGCTAAATACCATGTGTTCACATAACACCAGAAGGCCCTTTGTCTGCTGCTTAGTTTAATGGAAGTAACTTCAAATTGTACATTTACAGGGGGCGCCTGGGTGGGCTCAGTCGGTTAAGCGTCCGACTTCGGCTCAAGTCATGATCTCACAGCTCGTGAGTTTGAGCTCCACGTCGAGCTCTGTGCTGACAGCTCAGAGCCCGGAGCTGCTTGGGATTCTGTGTCTCCCTCTCTCTGCCCCTCCCCCACTCACGCTCTGTCTCTCTCTCCTTCAAAAATAAACAAACATTGAAAAACTTTTAAAAAAAGAATGACAGATTGTACACTTACAGTCCCTTAAAACCTTTGACCAAAACCACTCACTGTCCTTCATTGTCTGAAAATTTTAAAAGAAGTTTAGGTAGAAATTTCACCTTAAGGATAACAGCAAAATAATTTGCAAAATATAATAAAACTTGTATTTTATTTTTGATATGTTTTTTATAAGCGTAGCTATGAGACATCTATTTTCTGAATTTCTGCCCCCCCCTCCAAAATTTTTGGTAATATTTATACTCTGTTAAGGAATTATGTCAAGGTTTGAGATCAAAATTGTTGTAACTAGCAAGATTTCTCCCCTATATTCAGTATTTGGTATTGCCAGCTTCAAGTCCTTATGTCTCCATGGGGTTTCTTTCTAGATGCGTCCACCTGTGAATTGCCTCTGTTAACGCCGTGCAGCAAGGCCGTAATGAGTCAAGCCTTAAAAGCTACCTTCAGTGGCTTCAAGAAGGAGCAGCGCCGTCTTGGCATCCCAAAGAGTAAGGGCCCCTCTTTCCAGTACTTTCTCTGAGTCTGGACTGTACTAGAAGAATGAACCTGACCGTCACAGCTTGGGGTGACTGCTCGTTTCTTCCCAAGCACCTGGCAGCGCAGCGGGGATATGTGTACAACCTGAGCCGGCGTTTATTTCACGCCACTTAACCAATGACCCTTTAATTGAGACACACTCTTGTTAGTGTCTTAGAAGTTACCTGGGTGTCTTTGTGCCCTGTCTGCTCTCTTGCACACATCAGGACTTTGTGGGCAGATCAGGAGCAACTCTGATCTCACGGCCTCCTTCCGTTCTCTCCCGTGTGTGTGTGTGTGTGTGTGTGTGTCTTTCCTTGCCCTCCCCCTGGGCAGACCCCTGGCTGTGGACTGAGCAGCAGGTATGCCAGTGGCTTCTCTGGGCCACCAATGAGTTCAGCCTGGTGAACGTCAATCTCCAGAGGTTCGGCATGAATGGCCACGTGCTGTGCAACCTGGGCAAGGAGCGCTTTCTGGAGCTGGCACCCGACTTCGTGGGCGACATTCTCTGGGAGCATCTGGAGCAGATGATCAAAGGTACCGGCAGGGGACTGGGCTCCTGCTCGCAGAGGAGAGCCGCGGCACGGAAGAGAGATTGGGGGGCGGGGATCGGTGCTCTGTACCGATGGTCGGTAGCCTATGGTCGGGTTTCAGATTATGTAAATTGCCTGAAAATGTCATCAGAGTGAGTCGAATGTGTGGCAGGGATTATAGGTTTTTTAATCCACTGAAGAGTGTCTGTGTGTGTGTGTGTGTGTGTGTGTGTGTGTGGCATCAAGTATAGCCACAAGGCAGTGACCTGAGTCACTAACTTGTTGACCGCGGTCAGACAGCATGTGTCAGAGGAGTGCGTGCTGGCTCAGAAATGGAGGCCCACGAGAATTCCCAGGTCTGGGGCTCACCCTAGAGAACCCAAAGAAGTAAGTTGCCGTCGGGGAAAGGGAGCCTTTATTCAGACACACTCTCTGGATTTTACCGTAAATTTTCCTAAGACCAAATGGAATCCAACAATGAGAATTTCTTTCGGTTTTATCTATTTCAGCAAATGCAGAAGTGATCGGTATATATTTACGCACTGACATGTTCTGCAGAAACTGGCCATTGGACAAAAGAGCTCTCATCATATAGAAAGTCTTTTTTCTTTTTAAGTTTTTTAACGGTTTGTTTATATTTGAGAGAGACAGAGCATGAGTGGGGGAGGGGCAGAGAGGGAGGGAGACACAGAATCCGAAGCAGGCTGCAGGCTCTGAGCTGTCAGCACGGAGCCTGACACGGGACTCGAACTTACAGACCACAAGATCATGACCTGAGTTGAAGTCGGACACTTAACTGACTGAGCCACTCAAGTGCCTCTAAAAAGCCCTGATTTAGCCCTTATAAGAGTGTTGGCAGCCATGTTAAAAATACATCGAGTTAAAAAGAAGAAAAACAATGATAGGAAGGGATCAAGTTAAAATACAAGAAAGTCAGTTCGTTGGTAGAGTTCGGAGAAAGAGTCCTCGTTCCCTTGGTTTTAAACACAATTTCTACACCTTTTTCAGACTCAGAGTCTTTGAAAGACCTTAGGTTTCAGCCACCATTTCTTTTCAGCTGTGGCTTCTGGGGGCCGAGGAAACTTATTTGTGAAGGACCCCAAATCCTCCCTGAACTTGGCCAAGGTCTGATTTGACAAGTTTCTGGTGAATCTGTTCGCCGGTGGGGGAGGGGGGCCTGTCTTGCCATTACTCAGGGTGTGAGTCTGTGTGGGCCTGGATTTGTGGGGGCGTGTGGTTCGGTGTGTTTGTAGGGAGCAAGCACACAGAGAAGGCTAACCACCTTTTCCTTTTCAAAGTCCCCGGGCACGGGGCCCCCGTCCCTGGCCCCCCAGAGCGCTGCAGGCCTCTGTCTGTATAATGCGCACTTTGCCCTGGAGAAACTTCTAGGGGGTTGAAGCCTTGAATCATAGCCTCAGCAGGGCAGGAACCGTGTCCACTTGACGAATCCACCGTCTTCCCAGCCCCTGGGACAGATGGTACTTCATAAATATTTAACTGTCTCTTGACGGCAGGATGAATTAAATTCACAGTCTAGGTACTTAGAACGATGCGGTAGAACATTTAATTTGGCCAGGGACAGCATTCATTTTGGAAAACTCATTCTGGTTATTAGAAAATGTGTTGCTATCTCTGGCTTTTTTAAAAAGACTAAATGATGCAGAGAACCGTCTGATTAAATGTGGAGCGTAGGGGCGGCTGGGTGGCTCGGGCGGCTGAGTGCCCAACTTCGGCTCAGGTCACTATCTCGCGGTTTGGGAGTTCAGGTCCCGCATCGGGCTGTCTGCCATCAGCACAAAGCCCACTTCAGATCCTCTGTTCCCCTCTCTCCGTGCCCCTCCCCCACTCACACTCTCTGTGTCTCTCTCAAAAATAAATTTTAAAGAATCTTCTTAAAAACTTTAAAACGTGAAGCATAAATGCATTTCGTCACTCTAAAGTAACCATATGACAGACATTTAGGAATAAATGTTTTTAACCTCGATTCGCAATCCTAAGCCTCCTGTGTCTGTTTTTCAGAAAACCAAGAAAAAACAGAAGATCAGTATGAAGAAAACTCACACCTCAACTCGGTTCCTCATTGGATTAATAGCAATTCACTAGGTCAGTCCCGTCGATTTTTGCGCTAAACACCTTGGTTTTAACCTTTTCTATTCAATTTGGACTCTTCCTCCCCCACACCACCAAAACAGTAAATAAAAATAAAAATAAATTTGGGCCCCCAAGGACACAGTCTAGGCTGTACTGTCCCCATGCGGTGACTACACATGGCTCTCGAGCTGCTGAGCTCTGGATACGTGGCTGGTCCACAGTGAGACGTGCGGTGGATAATGCACACTCACGATGATCCGTGGTAAAACTGAGTCAGATAAAAGATGAAAATTAATTTAATTTCACCTGTTTCTTTTCAGTTTGTCATTGCGGCTACTGGAAAAGCTAAGGTTGCCTGAGTGGCTGGCATTATCTTTGCTTGGCCAGTGCTCTTGAAGGCAGCCCCCAGAGCCCGGGGCAGAGTGAGGTGGACTGACCACTGTGGTCGGCCCTGGCATAATCGGGCAGAGGTGACTGACAGGCGTGGGAAGCGTGTAGAAGGCAATTCTAAATTGGCTCTGAACTGTGGAGTTCAAAGAAGTGTCCCTGGAGTTCGGGTCTTTCCTTCTGGTCACTGACACTGATGAGTGTGGGTTATAGGTGGTCCCCCGCCCAGCCAGCAGAGGGAGGGGACGTCCCCTCACAAGGCACACACGGAGCGGCAAGTCCCTTACTCCTTCTGAGCCTTAGAGGCTGAAAGAGCCAGTGACCTCTGCCATCCGGAGGCAGGATGAAAGCGTCTGATAAACCAGAGCCGGAGAAATGCTCACATCGAGGCATCGCGTCTCGGTCTAGGGAATTCTGGGAAAGGGCTTATCGGCTGAGAGCTTATGGGCTTTGGAGCTCTTGCCAAAGCCCACTTTCCACCACCGTTGGGCGGAGGGTTAGAGCGCACGGAACCGGTCGTGCTTGATTCGGTTCGAGGGCATAGAGGGTCCGTGGTGACCACGCGCTCCTGCCTGACAGCCCTGCGGTCCCGTTGTGTGCCAGGCTTCGGCGTGGAGCAGGCAGCGTACGGCGTGCAGACACAGAGCTTCCCCAAAGGCAGCCTCCTGGACGTGTGTCCGTCATCCTCCGCACCCAGCACGCTGGGTTCTGAGCAGGAGCTTCAGATGCTCCCCAAGTCCCGACTCAACACCGTCAGCGTCAGTTACTGCCCCGTCAGTCAGGACTTCCCGGGCGGCAACTTGAACCTGCTCGCTGGCGGTTCCGGTAAGTCTGAGCTCCAGGGTCTCCCCCAGTAAGGCTGCTGGCTTGGTTCGGAGAGTCAGACAGTGAGGGGCTTTCTTAAGCAGCGTGGCCTGTGTTCAGCCACTGGAGGAGGGTAGAGGCCTCCTCTGTGTCCCAGGCTGCCGTCAGGCACTGTTGCAGGTGACAGATGGGCCCCTCACACGTCCACTTCCGCTGTGTTTCATGCTCTGAGCTGGGCACTGCGGGCACTGAGTAAACCAAACATAGTCCCTGCTCCCGCAGCTGGATTCCTCCACCCAGTGGGATATTTTGGGAGAAAACGTAGGAATAAGACCGATTTCCTTTCATGGAGATGCATGCGTATAAACGCACCACCCTCGGCTTGTACCGCAGGCTGACTGTTTACATATATGCCCCTGAGTAACAGCCACCCTGATGCAGATAGAGAAGCTTCCAGCCTTCCGTCACATCCCTTCCAGTCAGTACCATCCACACAGCAAGAGGAAACCCATTGTCCTGACTTTGTCATCGTGGATTAGATTTTCCTGTCCGTGAGCTTGATAGAAATGGAATCCTAGCGCTCTGTTTTCTTGTGCCTGCCTTTGGCTCCTTGTTACGTCTGAGACCCATCCCTGTGGTTGGATGTGGCAGACACTGTCCTTTTCTTCTTTCGTTTTTTTAAGAGAAGACAGAGTAAGAGCAGGGGAGGGGCAGAGAGAGAGGGAGACACAGAATCCGAAGCAGGCTCCAGGCTCTGAGCTGTCAGCACAGAGCCTGACGCGGGGCCCAAACCCACGAACCACGAGATTATGACCTGAGCTGAAGTTGGATGCTTAGCCACCTGAGCTGCCCAGGCGCCCCACAGTGGTCCTTTTCATTGCTGTGTAATATTCCAGCCCACAAAGCTGCACTTGGTCCAGCCACGACTGCTGGCAGATGCTGGGATGCCGAGGTTGTACAGCGTGTCAGTCATCAGGACTGAGCGCCTCGGTGTGAGCTTTGCCAGCAGTCCGCGATGCTGCACCAGCAGGCCTGGGGCGGGGCGGGGCGGGGGCGGGGGACGGCGTCCGTGCTATGCAAAGCTCCAGACCAGCCTGAGGTCCCTCGCTGCTGGGGGTAGCACCAGACGGTCCCCTGGCCCGGAGGAGTCAGCGTCTGCGCCCGGTTGTCTTTGCCAGGAAAGCCCCAGGACCGCGACTCCCCCGAGAGTGGCAGGGACAGCTTCGAGAGCTCGGACTCCCTGCTGCAATCCTGGAACAGCCAGTCGTCCTTGCTGGATGTGCAGCGGGTGCCTTCCTTCGAGAGCTTCGAGGATGACTGCAGCCAGTCCGTGTGCCTCAGCAAGCCGACCATGTCCTTCAAGGACTACATCCAGGAACGGAGTGACCCGGTGGAGCAGGGCAAACCAGTCATACCTGCGGCAGTGCTGGCCGGCTTCACAGGTGAGCGTGTCACGCGGGTCACCTCCCCAGGCCCCGCCCGGCCACAGCGCTGCATTATTTATCAAGGGTGTTGCTCCTTGGAGCACATTAGATTCACACCCTGAGTCTCGTGCATGGCCGGCCATCATCCCGAGTTGGGCAAGCCGCATCCCTGATCTCTAAAAAAGCCCACGTCGCAGGAATTTGCGCCCCCCGCCCCAGCTCTGTGGCAAGGATGCACATCCAGGGGCGGCTACCCCACCTGGGCTGTGCTGGGCCGGCTGGAGGGGAGGTGGTGCGGGGCGCACGGGCCTGTGGAGGCCTCCGCTCTGACTCACCCCCTCCAGGAATGCCAAAGAATGTCAGCCGGCCCGGGGAGGGACAGCAGAGCCGGCCTTCAGAAACACAGGGGCTGTTTACCTTTTCGTGCTTCTAAAATCCATCTTATTTTTAAGATTTGGGCAAGAGCTATTTTAGGCAAGGGCTAAATATTAAAGCTGTTTTTAGAAGCAGATATTTCCAGTACTTGAGCAAACATACCAAGATTTTTTTTTCATTTTTTTTTTCATTGCTTCATAGGCCCTTCAGTGTGTGTGGGTCTGTTTTGTTTTTTTTTTCCCTCATATTTTGACCATATGGAGCCACTGGATTAAAAAAAAATACCTACTTGAAAAAACCTAATAGGTTAAAATAAGAATACAGAAGGATCCTTTTTTTTTCTTCCTGTCATCTTAAACATCCACAAAATAGGCTTGATAAGAAAATAAACAAGCCATGGTGTTGGTGTTTTTCATTTTAAGATTAGTTACCATCTGCTGACTGTCAGCTCGGTGTGGTTAACTAGACGTGTATATAGTTGGTGATCCTTGGGACAGCCCAGCACAGGTGAGGACATTAACCTATTTTACAGTTGGGGCTGTTGGCTCAGAGGTAGATAGCTTTCCAGGCACACAGGTAACCTGGTCGTGTCTGTTTCCAGAACTCCTGCCCTTTGTGTTTTACAGCCTTATTGATGATGGCCATGGGGTCTTGAGGAACAGCTCTTTGATGGGTGTGTGATTCAGGGCAAGGCATCTAGCGTCTGAGCTACACCTCATTTTTCAAATAGTGTTACAGGGCACCTGGGTGGCTCAGTTGGTTAAGCTTCTGACTTTAGCTCAGGTCATGATTCACGGTTCATGGGTTCAAGCCCCGTGTCCAGCTCTGCGCTGACAGCTCAGAGCCTGGAGCCTCCTTCAGATTCTGTGTCTTTCTTTCCCTCTCTACCCCTCCCCCACCCATGCTCTTCCTCTCTCAAAAATAAATTAAGAACAACATAAAAAAATTGAAAATGAATAAATAAAAAGAGGGTTACAGGGACGCCTGGGTACCTCAGTCCATTAAGGTCCCCCCAACTCTTGGTTTCAGCTCAGGTCATGATCTCACAGTTTGTGAGTTCGAGCCCTGCTTCAGGCTCTGTGCTAACCATGTGGAACCTGCTTTTGATTCTCTTTCTCCCTGTCTCTCTGCCCCTATCCCACTCACTCCATCTGTCTCAAAATAAGTAAACTTCAAAAAAATAAATAGTATTACAGCGATAACCCTCGTCACAAGGTGATGGTTCTAAATATTATCCAGAAAAGGTATATGAAAGGCAAAGCATCCCTCACCAGGGTTGGTGAGGCAGTGGATACAACCCCAAGCGTCCAAGTCACTGTTGAGTAAACTGAGTCCTGGATTAAGCAATTTACCCACCGTCATTCAAGTCGGGAAGGCTGCCTCGTGGGATTCCATGAGTGACGTGCCTCATTCTGTGGCAAAACGCCCCTTCAGCCACCCCCGCCCCTGTCCTGCTGGGTGGCTCTAGAAATAAACCCTGAAACTTATTACATAAGGAACAATTAAACAGGATAAGGAATTTTTTTTTCAAGATTTTATTTTTAAGTAATCTCTGCACCCAATATGGGGCTCAAACTCACAGCCCTGAGGTCAAGAGTCGCACGCTCCACTGACTGAGCCAGACTTGCGCCCTCAAGATGAGGAATTTTCATGTCAAGAGTCAGTAGCTCTGAATTTTTTTTTTTAGAAAGACCAACCTTGGCAACCTAGGGCCCAGTGACCCCTTTTTTCTGGTGGGGGAGGCAGAGAAGGCCTCACCTTCAGTGCCATTAAAGTGTCCCCACACTGGGAAGTGGGTCTTCATGTTGGCTCCCTGTCTGGAGGTGGGTCTCACCTTCCTCCGCCTGCATCTTTGGAAGGACGAAAGCCTTGCCGAACTTTAAATCTATAAAAGCATGTATCCTGCCCCTTTCCCACAGGAAGCGGACCTATTCAGCTGTGGCAGTTTCTTCTGGAATTGCTCTCTGACAAATCCTGCCAGCCCTTCATCAGCTGGACTGGGGACGGATGGGAGTTCAAGCTTGCTGACCCCGATGAGGTACGGCCAAGCCTGGGAAGTCCCATCTCTGGGCTGTAAGATTTCCCCACTCCGGGCTCCTAAATTCATTGTCTGGGCCCACGGAAGGTTCACGGCTACAAACGAGAGTGGTTCTAGAGTCCCGTGGGTATGCAACACGGGCACTGGGCAGGCTTCTTCGTCTTGCTGTCTCCTCTGATAAAAAGGCACAAGCGGTAAACTGAGGGTCCCTCCCGAACCACCTGAAAACACCGTGGGGCATTTGCCTTTTCCCACTGGCGGGGAGCAGACCCCGAGCAGCCCCGTGCTGGTCATCTGGGCTCTGCCCGGTGGTGGATCAGCTGAGCTGGGCAGAGCCGCGCCAGCCCCCCTGCAGGAGGAGGCGGAGGGCAGATCCAGACCCTCCCCTGCAGGCCGGTGTTAGAGAAGCCCGTGATCTCTGGCAGCAGTCGTGATCTCTGGCAGCAGTCGAGTGCAAAGAAACACCGAGGAATGCATGCTGTCACGTGGCTCCGAGCCGCACCCGGCAGCTGTTGGCTGTGGTACTTGGAATAGGAACCCAGGAGGTGGGGGGCGCAGCGTTTCCCTTGCATCAGGGCCGCCTGACCGTGAACCGTGTGCTTCAGGCTGCACGAGGCGGCACTGCGGATGGGGGCCCTCCTTCCATCCTCAGGGCATGATGCCCCGGCACGTGCACTGAAACAGAGCACACCTCCCTTCCCCCAGGGCTCCTGTGGGGTGGTCACGTTCTCTTTGGGTAAGTGGGCACGAGCATCCTCCTCAGGGGAGGAAGTCCCCCCGCCCGCCCCAGCTGCTTCTTTATCCGCCATGTTGAACCCTTCTCACCTGTGTCTGCTGCAGGTGGCCCGCCGGTGGGGGAAGAGGAAGAACAAGCCCAAGATGAACTACGAGAAGCTGAGCCGGGGCTTGCGCTACTACTACGACAAGAACATCATCCACAAGACGTCGGGCAAGCGCTACGTGTACCGCTTCGTGTGCGACCTGCAGCACTTGCTGGGCTTCACCCCCGAGGAACTGCACGCCATCCTGGGCGTCCAGCCCGACACGGAGGACTGAGGCCTGTGTGGCCCTGCCCTGAGCCGGCCCCGCCCTCGGGGGCCTCCCCGGGGACCCTGACGGTCGGCCTTGATCGCGTCCGGGAACGTCGCCGAGAAGCAGTGGCCTTATTTCATCCGAAACCGTGGGTTTTCCACCACCAAAAAGCATGGTTTCTCACTTGTAAAGCCTGCTGACTTGGAAGATGCTGTTTCTGATGCTGTTAACGTTAGACCGGCCGAGAAAGAAGAGGCCGGGACTGAGCAGGCTGGGTGATGGGGACGTTCAGGCTTCTGGAGAGTCCCGAAGGAGCGAGCCTGTCTTGAGCACACGCGTTTTGGGGTTTGCTTTTTTTTCCCGGCATTTGCTTTTGGCCTCTGACAGCCAGGAGTCACAAAGGCAGAAGTGGTCCGTTCGGTTCGGAGAGACGGAGGGGGCCGCGCAGGGAGACCGTGGCGCCGTTTCAGAAGCCAGTCTGTATATACAACTGTAATCTTATCGTTGTGGTCCAAGTCCTCTAACGGTCCTATTTAACAAAAACTGTATATTGTAATTTAAGATGCTTCTGTAAGCGTATGTGAAACGACGGTGCAGACGCCCGGCATTTACTCCGCTTTCCAAAAACCCGTGGCGCCTTCTGCGAACACCGCGTCTGCCCGGCCAGACGAAGGAGTTGTAAAGATGTGTATTATTTCCATTTAATATGCCTACAGGTATAAGTTCGAAGAGGGTCAGTCCCTTGGTTGTGTTTTGTTCTGCCCGGATTATTATCCAGCAAGGACTTTGTACATTTGGGAATTTTTATAAAAAACACTTAATGTTATTATCTGGAGGCGCATTTAGCCTCTGCTTTCTCCTTAATTGTAATGTAAAAGCTATAAAGCAGTATTTTTCTTGACAAATGGCATATGTTTTCCATTTCTGTGCATGCCTTTAAATCAGTTTATATGCAAAACTTATTTTATTTTTTAGTTCGACTGTGTTTCCCCAACAACTAACGTCCCCTGACCGACCGTTTCCTTCCCATGCTCCACCTCCGCGCCCCAAATTATTCTGTATGATTAAAATAAGAATGCTATTTTTGGAAATATGTGGCTCCTTTTCAGAGATCAGGAGGGATTTATATAGCAGCTATTTTTACTGCAGAAGCAGTTCACTGGAAAAAAAATGTAGTTTGTACGAAAGCTTTATTTTTATCTGCACTCCACGTGAAGTTAAACCTATTGTACAGAGCTGAAGGTTGGGGCCGGTGGGGGAGGGGAGGGGGACCTCCACGAAATCACTTGGTCATGAACGCAACGCCATTTTTCCCGGCCTTACTCACCTGTCGGGCCGCGGGCTGTCTGGACACGATCCTGTTCCTTTCTGCTCGGTGCCCACAGCGGGACAGGTCTTTGTTCCTATTTTCGTGGAAGCTGAATGCCCAGAGGGCACAGAAAATGGGAAGGAGAATCCCTCGGAGGGGTCGACTTGCAGAAAGATTTTTCTCACGATGGAAACTTTTGTGGTTGATTCGAAGGAGCGCATAAGTGTGCATGCAGTCAGGACGCTTGTAAATGACCAAGTCGACCTGGTTTCAGAGCCTCACGGGCTTCGCTCGCAATGTGAGAGGCCGCTGGGAGCAGTGGCTGCCGGCCCTGGAGAAGAGTCCATCCACGTAATGAGACCTTAGGTGGTGGAGGCAGCTGGGAAGAGCAATGCCGGAGCTGGGAGACTCAGTCTCAGTACTGGAGCTGGGGCCTCAGTCTCAGTACTGGAACTGGGGGACTCAGTCTCAGTACCAGCTCTGGGGGACTCAGTCTCAGTACTGGAGCTGGGGGCTCAGTCTCAGTACTGGAGCTGGGGGACTCAGTCTCAGTACCAGCTCTGAGGGACTCAGTCTCAGTACTGGAGCTGGGGGACTCAGTCTCAGTACCGGCTCTGGGGGACTCCATCTCCATGCTCATGTGAGACCGTTTCCAGTGTCTTTGAACACAGGATGTTTTCTCAAGTGGGACATGTTTATTGCTCAGACATCCGTTCATAACATCAGCAGACATGTGACTGGGAACATCCTTCTGCCAAAGGGGATCTTAGTCCTCGGCTCATTTTATATGGGGTTAAACCACGTGAAATTGCCAGTATTTGACTTTTTTAGCTTACAAAGTAGTCAGTTTCGTGTGGTTCAACCTTAGTTACAGAGACCAAAGTCCATTATAAACCTTTGGTGTGGGCAGGAACAGAACCTAACTAGAAAGATTTTGTAACCTGGCCTTTTCTCTCTCAAATAATAAAGTATTTTGTTTATAAATACGCCTCCTGGTAAGGGTCCTCATTCTTCCCACCCTGACAAGGGATGAGGGGAGGTGGCCTGAGGATACTGAGCCCCGCCCGATCCATTGCCCTGTCAGCAGCTTTCCGTCTCTTGAGTGTCTCCTGTCCATTTAACCGATTTTACACACCAGTCACCTAGTAAATCATGACCAAGTCACAACCAACTGTGAGCTCTTCCTGAAGGAATCCCCGGAACGTGTTTGCTTAAAGCAAACAGTTCTTTTAAGAAGGGGTTAGAATGGAAAGATACAGTGCCTTGTCTTTGCCAAGGGGTTGGCAGAGGGGAAGGAAGGGATAGTAGAATGCTGATGTGAGGAACATGAGGGTTTCGATCTCATGGACTTTCTCCAGGGCACCTGGCCTTGCTGAGCCGACTGAGGTCGGGATGATGGTCCTGAGACACCTCTTCTCAAGCACACTTCAGAGTTAGTGAGGATGGGGCATCTGGGTGGCTCAGTCTATTGAATATCTGACTCTCGATTATGGCTCAGGTCATTATCTTACAGTTTGTGAGATCAAACCTAGTGTTGGGCTCTGTGCTGACAGCACAGAGTCTACTTGGGATTCTCTGTCTCTCTCTCTCTCTCTGTCTCTCTCTCTCTTTCTCTTGCCAACAAACAAGTGGGTTATAATCAGTGATGTGCTAGAGCTCCCTCACCAAGGGCTGGAGAGAGCAGGTCCCCTCCGAACTTCACATCAATGATGTATTGGCACCTTGAATGTGGTCATGAAGAGAGTGTCTATACCGTAGAAATCAGCAGACACTACAAATCGGGGCTCCCCTCAAGGCCTCTCAGGGAGCTGGTTGTTAAGCAGTTACCAGAACACCACTCACTGGTCATCAGTGTTCACCGTATTAGAAATTAGAACAAATTTTACAATTCTTTTTTTAAAATAATGTTAACGTTGTTATGAAAAACAACTTTTCCAGAAAAAAGGGAGTATGGCATTGTTTTACATGTTTTCAAATTTCTCTGATGTCTGGTTGAAAAGAAAAGAGCTGGGTTCTTATATTTTCTTCTTCATTTTGTCTCGTGATATATCTTGAAGGAAATCAGGCCTCACACAGATCTGAAATTGGAACAGAGGAGTATTTGAGAGACGTTTAGGATAATTGTGGATAGTTTATACTAAACCTAACCTGGCAAATGGAAGTTTCTTAAAGGTTCATTGCACTTGGAATATGAAATCATATCAATAAACTTTCCTATGATTACAATAAATTCCACTGGTCTGTCTTGCACTTTGAATACATCATTTACCCATGTGTGATTTTGTAACATCACACATTAGTCATTGGAAATATATTGCTTCAAGATGTTGACACAGTTCAATGTCTAATATCAAACGATCACATTAATTACCATCATCACCAATTTCACCAGGAAAGTACCGGGAATCCATCAGGCTCACAGTGGCAGATGTAAATTTTCAAAAATTCAGATTTTCACTTGAAAATTCAACTTTTATCATTGGCAACAAATAGTCCCTAAGTTTTCTTTGAAATGACAGACTCATTTTGTTTACTTGTGAGGAAATGCCTATCAGATGCCCAAATCAGAATAAACATAACTTGTCTGTTGTTCTTGCAGGTAAAAATGGCGCCCGTGGACAAAGTGGTTAGTTTAGCTTGCAACTCACAGAAATGAACGAATCCCTTTTGGACAACCAACCTACCTTAGCATGTAGCCATTCTTTGTCTGTACTATCTGTTACCCAGAAGTTAGAAAGATGTGTATTCATTTATTAATAAAAGTACTTTTTACTGCTTTATCAAGGACATTTTTAAATCACACTGGTATTTTTTTTCCTACCAGTACATGGTGAAGAATGCAGTGATGCCTGGGACAGTTAATGCTAAGGTCCCAGCAGTTTTACCCAGCTTTGCCTTTGCAGAGGATCCCTGAAAGGGTGTCAGAGCCCCACAGACATCCATGGAGCTCACTTTGAGAACTGTTCTGGAAAACAGAGCAGCTCATCCAGAATACAGTGGAACAGGGCCGGAAGGTGACCAGCAGTCAGGTGAAAACAATTTTCCTTTCTCCCCCCAGATCCAGTGTCCATTCTTCCAATCTTGCCCTTTCATAGCCAGTTTGGATGAGCAGTTTTATGTAAAGCAAAAAGGATTATTTAATGTTCTACATGATAAGGAAAAAGTTCACTCAACCTAAGGCGAAATGGATATTCTCAAAGTCCTCCTACTGTCCTTCACTCTTTGTTCTTTTCCATGTGTCACTTCAATTCTCTCCTTTTTTAAAATTTATTCATTTATTTTGAGGGAGAGAGACAGACAGAAAGCACAAGTGGGGGAGGGGCAGAGAGAAGGAGAGACAGAAGCCCAAGCAGGCTCCACACCATCAGGACAGAGCCCAATATGGGACTCAAACTCACCAATCGTGAGATCATGACCCAAGTCGAGACCAAGAGTTGGACGCTCAACTGACTGTGCCACCCAAATTCCCCTCTAAATCTTTCCTTGATGCCGTACATTTCACATTTTAAATGTTTATTTTTCTTAACATGGTCAAAACCGAGGTCATAAAGAGATGAGGCACATACGGTCTGTCTCCCAGCTTTTCCACATGATGGGTAAAGGAGCAAACTTCACTCAGCCACCCCATGTCCTGGTTCTTCCCCATACAGTGGTCCGAGAGGGCCTCAGGTCTGCAAATGGTGAACACTCAAAGCAATAAGGATTCGGAGCCTGAAGGGGCTGCTCTGTTGAGTGTGTGCGGTGCAGTATGTGGGGGCCAGAGAGGATGGAGGGGGAACAGGGTGGGTAGGGAGGGCAGTACCCTGTCTCATCACCTCTTTGGAAACATCAAGCAAGTTGGCAGTAGACTTTTGTCGTGGTTTGGCCCTGCCCTTGGGTTATGGTTCTCACCCAGCTGTTCACTCATGGCTACATGACCTTGGGCATGTGACTTCATTACACGGTGCCTCAGTTTCCCGTCCATAAAGTGGAGTCACTGGGTGGTTGTGGGTGGGTGAATCTGTCATTTGTTTAAGATTGTGGGAAGTCAGTGACCTGGGGGGGTGCTGCGGGGGGGGGGATCTCCATTTAGGTCATGAGTGAAGCTCTCCAGCAGGGGTCTGCGAAGAAAATACAGCTCCTGGCCGTCATGTCTGTTTTCATAAGAAACCCAGGCGGCAGAGTTCAGCGGTTAAGCTGGTGTTTAATTCAATCAGGACTCAGACTTAGGTCTTCCGTTTCCAGATGCTGTTCTCTTGATAACCACACCGCGTTTTGTTTAAGTCATTACAAATCCTACCCAGAGGCTCCCCCAACCTTCTAGTTCCTCCTTCTGTTCTGTTTTGAACAGAACAATGCACACCCCTTGATTTGAATTTTAAAATTATCCACGAGCCTCCCACCCAAAGGACACACAGTCCTCACACACGTGGCAGCTGGTTTCGGCTAGTTTAGTCTGAGCAGATGCGTGAATCTCCCATAATCTGGGCCAGATGTTAATCTGTCTTTTCTGTAAGAGCTGCACAAAAGGGTGAGGCTCAATGCAGTGAAGGGGGAACCCCCTTATTGTGTAATTCTTTTGAAACTCCTGGGCAGGGTTTGAACATGTGATTCTTCTTGAAATCTGACATTAAGGGAAATACCATTTTTGGTCACAGCTGTGTCATCACACACCTTCACAACTGGAAATGGCATAGCCTTTGTCCATGTGCTATGAGTAACTGCCCCCTCCTTACCTCCCAAAGTCATATTCAGTGGCAAGATAGCCCAGAATTGCCAAATCTGACCCCCACCAATAGTTACCATATCTATGGTTTCATGCTCTCCAGATAGCCGGGACTCAACACACATGTGTGTTTGCATGGCATAGTGCCAGAAATGCTGATTCATGGTAGCCCATGGCCCAGATTGGCTGGAGGACGACATGTCCTAGGGACGTTGGGGACAATAAACAGTACAAAGGACATGAGGTCTCAAGCAAGAAGACTGTGCATCAGCTGTGGCCCATCTCCATGTAAAGCTCATGAGAAACACCTTCACCATTTGCTCGTAAACTCCACCACACCAGCTAATGAAGAGGTGATTCTTCATCACAGTACAAATGTGTAATTAACAATGGTGAAATACAGTAGCATTGCATCATCTCTCTGGAATTCTGGGAGGTCAATTTCATTATGTTCATTTTCCAGATGTGGGAACTGAGGCTTGGAGAGGTTAGAGCCCTATGTTCAAACTAGAAGCGACTCTCTGGGCTTAGCAGTGGCCTCTGATCTGTGTCATGGCTGTGGCCTCCAGCTTGGGGGTAGTCGAGGCCTCCAGGGCTTGGAACCCAGAGCCACCCCCGCCTCAGCTGAGGGGCTGGACAGGCTCTCGACTCTGTCACCTCACCCGCCCTCCGTCCCAGGCATTGCCGTCCGTGGTATAGGAGTTCTTAGCCTTCCCACCCTGGGGGTGAAGCCAGTCTGTCACCTCAAGGACACAGCACCTTGACTGTAGTTCTCAGATCTTGAGCAATTAGACTAGTATTTTCAATCAAATTTACATGAGCCTGGGCTTCTGTTTTCCCAAGCAATGTATGAACCTCACAAGACCCCCGAGGGAAGCTCCAACCGTTTAGTTAACTTTTATTCATTCATTTTTGTATTTGCCCCTCCCCCAACCATTCATTCACAAGCAGCTCTGAAGTGTCAACTCCTGGGAATGTAGAGATCACTGAAAGCCAGATACTCTATGCTTTCCTAGGAGCCACTCAAGTGAAGGAGCCCAGAAGTAGAAGTGGTAAGAGCATGCGAGTTCCATCTAGCACAAAGGCCTGGTGCCAGTGCTACGCTTCCACCGGTGGCTGGACTTTATCCAGTAGCTGTGCATGAGAGCGGTGGCATCGCAATGAGAGGTGACAAGGAATCGACCTTGCTGGGCGCTGGCGTGGGTGTTGGGGGCTCACAAGTTCACTGAAATGTCTCTGCGGTCAGCCCTGCAAGTGGGACTAAGATGATCCTCAGAACACG